TCCAGATCTTCTTCTGGGAAAACTTTAAAATACCCAGAAATCTCACTCTGAATTTACTGTCGACGGCCAGAGGCAGGCCCATCTCTTTTAAGAGCACACAGACTCCTTCAAAGGGGCTCCGACTCAACTTGGGTGAGGTGTGTCAACTTACCGCAACTGCCAGCGGTGTCTCCTCTGGCCTTCAGCATGTTCACGGCAGGTTCCCAGGCCCTCCACATTTTGACAAGACGTAGCAATGGTAAGTATCATAGCATCCTTCAGTTACACTGCAAGCAGAAGTGCTTGTGCCTCATCCGACTCTGCTTTTGGTAGAGAGGGGCAACCAATTCATGGGACAGGAGTGACATGACCTAGTCTCCAAGGTAGGTGTGGACTTGCACCTTCTCTTTCATTTGTGCCAGTTGTGACTTAGAAATGGCAAGGGCCCTTCCCACCACTGGCCATCTCACCCATTGGGGAGAGAGGTCGGGAGACTGAGGATACACAGGTGAAGCAACTGTGGTGTGACCAGGGGTAAAATTCCCCCTTCCCCCCTGGTGTAGAGAAGCAGTGACGTCCTCTCCTCCGGACAGGGATCAGATCGGGTGACCAGAGCTACCTATCCGAGGCCTTAAGTGTCACAAGGCTATGTGACACCCAGAGGGCCATTTGCAGCATCTTGACACCTTAAGCTCTCATCAGGCCAATTGTCTCTCAGCTGTGCCGCACACACTTTTCAACTAAAGTGGCGTCTAATGTGAATATTGATTTGGTGCGTTTTTGTGGATCTGAGTTTACCATGCTAGTGACTCAAGAACAGGGAGGGCAGATGCTTTTCCAACGTGCAGTCTCTCTCTCCATGGCAAGGCAGAGCCGTGGCTCAGCTCCTTGCCTAAGCCAAGGGAGGGAGCAAGTGGTCAGCTGTCCTGGTGTCTGGAGCTCTGCCCAGTACAGGTAACCCCATTGGTTGCATCTATACAGATAAACTGGGATTTGAGCTACATCACCCAGGAGGGCTTCCGAACAGAGGGGCCTTGTGACCTTCTGATTAGGTGGGCACCTGGGTGTTTTGGGTCAGTGAGCAGGGGGCTTCCCACTGTGTCTGGTAAACTTAAGATGCCTGGCCTCCTCCTAGATTTCAATTCTCTTCCATTCCCTTGTGTCTTATTTAGGATCTGACTTTACAGATAAGACACATCAGTAAGGAGAACAATGTTCCTCCTTTAGACAAACGTCTGAATGTGTGTATTGGGTGGGGGGCTTCCCGCTGCTGGACACGCAGGCGAGATCACGGTGGGGGTCACGAATGTGAAGCCTGGCTTCTGTTTGGAATTCACCCCTTCCTTGGACTTAAAGATGTGGTTTTTCCCCTTTTCCTGGTGGATCAATACAAGAGGCAAACTATTTAGAAACAGAGCCCCAACATTTATTTCTTGTTCAGGGTTTGACCAGTTTTATTGCATTTACTGCTCCTGAGTGTGTAGTTGCATCTACACAGGCACAGTCATCAGAATTATACAATCTTGTGGCTCTTCCACTGGGTTTGTAGCAGTGGTGTCTCAATGTGACAATGACATAAGTGATGAGGAACCTTGCTGCCTGCCAAAGTTGCCTGCCAGTGAGACCACGGCTCCCACTGCTGGAGGTTCCACTGCCAACAGTCACCCCCGGTCTAGAGGTCCAAGCCACAAGCTGCAACGCTACTGTGACAAAGACTCCTAGCCGGGAAGTAGCGACTTGGGTGTGAAGGTCGCTTGGGTGGGGTGGGGGCAGGCTGCCCTGTGTGGATGCGTCTGCCAGCTGGGGAGAAAGGCCATGTCCCAAGGCTGCCTGGGGCTGCGGGTAGAATGGTGTTCCCTCCTGCCAGACCCATGTGCACCCTAATCTCAGGATGTCAGAACACACAGCTTTCCCTAGGTACTCATTCAGTCACTGTAGATGTGACTGACTGGCTAAGCAGGCTGGGGGCCTGACCCAATATGGCTGGTGTCCTTACAAAAAGGGAGAACTTAAGGACAGACACGACCACAGGGACATCACATGAAGATGAAGGTGGGGGGGTGGGGTGACACCTCTACAAGGAAAATCATCAGGTGCCAGCAACCACCAAAAGCCAGGGGGAGGCTCAGACAGCACCTCTCCACAGGGAATCAACCTGCCCTCAATCTTGGACTTCCAGCCTCGGTTCTCAAGGTGCTTCTTTGTTCTGAGCCACTATGTTTTGGGTACTTTGTTGAGGAAGCCCTGATGAATGGGCAGAACCACAGGCTAGGTTAACAGACACACACAGCTCACCCTCACAGGAGGTTCACTCTGGCCTGCTCCCTGACAGAATTCCTCACTCCCAGGCTGAGCTCTCAAACCCCACACAACTTAAGTGCCTTTCAAGTGATGACAACTGGGCTCCCAGCCCACATTCAGGTACTACCACATTCAGGTACTAAGAAACATCTGGGCAGGGGGTGGAACATATCGTTTAAAATGTGGGCATCGCTCTTGGTGAGCTCAGGACCCCTAACAAGCAGCTACCATCACAACTAAAGGGTGTGATATGCTTCCCCTCACATGGCTCGCCCGTGAAGGGCCACCTGGTAATTGCAGGTGTTCCTTGGGTTGGACGGTGACAGGAACTGGAACCACTGATGACTGCAGGCTTGTTGTGCCCCGCCCCGTCCCCACCTGCACTGCTGCCTCCCCACCCTGCTCTGCCCAGCACCCCAACACAGCTCCTGGTCGTCAGAGGTAAGTGCAGTTATCCTGGAACCTTGGAATGGAGTGTGGTAAGTCCGGCAAACAGCAGACGCCAAGGGGTCACCGCGACCCTCTGCCCGCTCCGGGAGCCCTGGGTCGGGTTCTCTCCCACTGGAAACAGGGTGTCAAAGCTGGTGGTGACAGCCCTCTCCTCTTTCCTGGGAAGAAGAGAGCTCAGTTGGCCACTATCTCGTTTCTACCTGAGAGTGCGGGACAGGAGAACAAGGTCAGTCCTGGGTCTGCACTTCTTGCGGGCAGGGAGAGACCTCTCAGTAGGAGTTCAGTGCCTGCTTGGAGCGGCGCTTCATGTGCAGGCGCTGGTGGCGCAGGAGGTCGGAGTTGTGTGAGAAGCTTTTGACGCAGTACCGGCAGCGGAAGGGCCGCCCCTCATCCTTCCTGTGAGCGGTGCTGCGATGCCGGGCCAGGTGTTCGGGCCGCTGGAACACCTTCCTGCAGTCACGGCACTGGACATTCAGCCGCGTCCGGCCCTCTGCTAGCAGCGCATCGGGGTCCGGACCCCCGCCCGCAGGCCCTGCCGGGCCCTGCTCGCTGTCCCCCAGCGGCAGGTGCACCCGCCTGTGGCAGAGCAGGTGCGAGTTGAGGCGGAAGCTCTTCCCGCAGGCACCGCACTGGAAAGGTTTCTGGGCCTCATGGGCCTCCAAGTGCCCGTCCAGGTCCTCGCTGTCACTGAACAGCTCCCCACACACCGAGCACTCGTGCAGCTTCTGCTCTCTGCGGCTGCGCAGGTGGCGGACGAAGTTGACCCTCCAGCGAAAGGCCTTCCCGCAGTTCGGACACACATAGGACTTCCCAGAGGTTTGCACCCCGCCTCCCACTGGAGCGCTCTGTGGCGGGGCAGAGAGGCCGTGCTGCGGCTCCACGGGGCTCCGCCGCTCATCAGTGCAGTAGGGGCCCAGCTGGGAGTCCTCATCCCCAGAGCTGGACAGGACGATCTCGATGGTCACCTCCTCATCCACACCGTTCGCGGGGGACGGTGTGTCACCTCCGGCTGCAAGAAAGAAAGCGATGTGTAGGTCAGTGGTGCCACCTTGGCCACAACCCGGCTCCTAGAAACCCCACCCAGGGAGTTGCAGCTTGACCCTGTAGCCCACAGGGAGCAGGGGGAACATGGGCCACACTGCGCCAACCTCCCCTACTCCCCCCACTTCTTCCTCCCTTTCCCTTCTCTGTCCTTTTCCTCTGAAGGCCCAGCCCCAAGCCTCTTTCTTTCCTGGCCACTGAGACCTCTCCAAACTCTAGGAGTTTATATTTATGTATGTAAAGTCTCAACCACTTGCACATCAGTAATTCCTGGACATAACCTATGATACATTACATCTCTCCCTCACTGTCACACCTGAGGCCCACCAGTGGCCAACAATGGCAATGGGGAGACATCCTGGACTTCGCAACCCAGGTGGGCTTGATGGACCCTGAATCCATGGTATCAGAGGGCTGCAGTGGGAGGTGGTGGGTCACCAGGCTGCAAGGCCTGAGGTCCGGGCCTGAAGCCCCGCGCACGTGGCACAGCTACCCTCGGGCCATCGTTTTAGTTTGAAGTGTGGGACTTGGGCCTAAAACAGGGTGGTGGTACTGCACCCTTCAGGACACTGGTAGGAACAGGGCTGTTCTGGACTTAATTTCTGCAGGGAAGGCTGTTCTGGCAAGTTTGGGAGCCTAAGGGCAGGCAGAGCTGGACAGATAGCAGCAGGGCAGGAAGACCCAGGAGCCAGAGTGCAGCAGACACAGGTAATGCCAGGGCCCATGGGGGCATCCATCAGAAGACAAGGGTGAGGGGGCTGGGGAGCAGGTAAGACCGGAAGATCTGGGATTTTCTGTCTGCCCACACTGCACAAAACGAGTATTCTCAAGAGAGCACCAAGGGCGTGGCTGACCACTACAGCTCTGACCAGCATATCAGAAACCGGCAGTGGGGATGGGGTGACCGGGAACAGCCGCAGAGGACAGTCTTGTTGCATGGCCTGGGCCTGTCACCTCCATAGGAGGCCAGCTTTGTTTTAAAAATCCTATGTGAGCAGAAATGCTGCCAGACTGGACTAAGGACAGACAGGACGTGCTGAAGAACAGCGGTCAGATGTCTGGGGTTCTGCAGAAGGCCCACAGTGCTCACTGGCTGCAAACACACATTGTCCTGGGAGGAAAGGGAGGTGGCCCTGAAGGCAGCTTAGGGGTAGCTGAGCCAGGAGGTCAGTATGAAGCCCTCAAGGCCCGTGCGCTTGGAGCTGCTGGGTGTCTGTTACTTACAGCAGGGAGTCCTTCTCCTTAGGGACCTGTTCCTTTTTGAAAGGAATGTTGTCCTGTGCCCATCCCACTAATGTTTTGGAAACACACAATTTGATGCTTGGGGTCACAGGTTCACAGTTGGAGAGGAATGTACCCACAGCTGACTACACTATTTAGCTGAGATTATAGACTTAGGGTTGAAGCTGGACTAGGCTGCAGCACTGGAAGCTATTGAGAAAGGATGAATGTATTCTGCATGTGAGAAAGACGTGAATTTTGGGGAGCAGAGGGTGGTGTTAAGGGATGAATTGCTTCCCTTAAAAATCCATGTTATGTTTAAGTCTTAACCCCAAATACCTCAGAATGTGACTATATTTGGAGTCGGGCTCTTCCAAGAGGTAATTAGACTAAAATGAGATCTTTAGGGTGGGCCCTGATCCATCTGGCATCCTTACATAAACATGCAGAGATGGCCTGTGAGCACCGGAGGAGTAGGGTGGGGGTGGGGGGAAATGGCCTTCTACAGGCAAGTGCGTCTGCCCACTATGCTGACACTTTGAGCTCAGGCTTCCAGCCTCTAGAACTGTGAGAAGATCACTATAGTACGTATGGGGTGGCATCTCTCAATCATATCAGCTGAAGTGACCAAAAATAGATGCAGAGTTCTTGAAAATGGGGGACTAAACAACCAACAGTGCTGTCGTGAACCAACCCTGCAACACTGAAGGTTGCCTAGTAGACCAGCTAGCTCACAGCTGTGCCCAGAACATCAGAGGAGCAGGAAAGCCAGGGATTCTCAGTAAGTGGTGGTGAGTACAGAGGAGGTGTGGGGTGGGATGGGTCCCACAGTTGGGGAACAGGGAAGAGCTGTGGGTCTGAGTGCTCTTGTGTGCATTAAATCATGTAATCCTGCATAACCCCACAAGGCAGCTATGATTTGTCTGTTTTAAAAGAAAAAGAAATTAAAACAGAGAAAGTTGCCCAAGGCTTCAGAGAACTGAGCCCCATCAGAGGAGTGGGTGCTACCCAGACTGCCAGCAAACTCTTCAGAAGGACACTCTGCAGGCTGGAGGGGCCGAGCAGAGAAGTGGGGAGGACAGGAAGGCAGGAGTAGAAAAGCGGGATGACAAGGCATTGCAGAATGTATACGTTAGGAAGAGGATTTCTTGCAAGACATAAAAGCAAAAAGGAGACTAATAAATGTATTTACATTGCAAAAACATGAAAGAGAAATTTATGTGCTGAAAGACACAAAGTTTAAAAAAAGAAACACAGAGGAATTATGTGCAAATGACAGACCATGGATTGAGACCTATAATTTTGATTTCATAGCACAGGTGATGTGTGGGAAGAGACGGCCCAGGTGTGGTCCCAGGCCAGTGACCACAGCACGGGTGCCCCAGCTGCAAGACAGAGATGCCACAGCACCCATCACGGGCTGATAGCCCGCGTCCCCTTGAAAATGCACATGCCCAAGGTCTTATCCCCAGATAGGGCCTTTGGGAGGTGATTAGGGTGAGATGCGTCTTGCAGGTGGGCCCCATGCTGGGAAAAGCATCCTTGAAGAGAAGAGACACCGGAGCCCTCCTATCCCACACATACTAGGGAATGGCCGAGTGCGCGTGTGGCGAGGACAGCGTCTACCGCCAGGAAGGGCCTTGCCATCAGACTCTGCCAGCGCCCCAGCCTCACCTTCCCCACACCTGAGAGGAATTGTCCCTGTTCCAGCCGCCCCACCCATGACTGCTGCTGTGTCATCAATGAGGCCGTCTGTCTTGGGGGGTGCTTATGACCACAGCACAGGTCAAATGAAGACCTTGCCCTGGCACTTGGGACAAGGACATATGCAGACCTTGTCCAGCGTGAAGGGGAAAAGGCAAAACCAGAAACAAGTCTAAGCAACAGGAACCACCCAAATCCCAGAGAAAACACAAATGAACACGAAGAGCATCCCTCTCCGTGCAGCAGGGCAGACAGGCACTGATGGGACAGGTGGGAGCATCCTGTGTGAGTCTCCAGGGTAGGGACAGGGACCCCTGACCCGCTGCTGGAGTGGGCAGGAGCTACCCAAATAGCAGGGCTTGTTCTCCAAAACCCACACCCGCCCTGTGCTTGGGCAGCCCGGTCCTGCCTTTTCAGAGCAGATTGTCAGAGCCCAGGAGAGGGAGAACATGAGATGTGTGGTGGAAGGCATAGGCCAGAGGCCTGAGTGCACATGAGCAGTGGGCACCGTCACGCTCGACAGAGACGGGCACCGAGCCTGGCCACTCAGGCTGGGGAGGAGCCCTCCTCCTGGATCTGCTGTTGGTTTATACATACATGAAATCCCTTTTGTCTACACATGACATGCAGCAAACACAAATGGTAGTAAGCCCTGCACAGACCTGGGTACAATTACCACACTACCAGGACACTCTTGCCTCCAAAACATTTGCATCTCAGGTAAAAGAGGCTGTGCGTGAGTCAGTCCACACAGCTGTGGAAAATCTGTAACATAGTCGGTTCAAGTAAGAACCAGACATACTATTGTATGTCAACTGGAATTGAAAAAAGAATTTCTTTAATAGAAGAAAAAAGAGTGGAGTGAGGGAACCCAAGGATGCTGAAGATGGTCACATTTTAGTCTTTGCCACTGGAGGTGGTGGCTTTCACCACATGACTTGGAGTCCAAAAGCCGGCTGCCGGGTGGGGTATAGGGGGGGCCTCTGCGGAGTCCCTTGGCTCCCACATCCCACACCCCTGCTAGCCTCCAGATTTTGGCCAGGACCCTGGCCTCCCATGCTCAGGGAAGAAACACATTCCACGTGACCAGCCACATCGCATCGCACCGGCTCCAACCCCCAATGGGACAGCCAGGAGGGGAGGGTGTCGAACTGGGGCTCAGCTGAGAAAGATCTTGGGAAAGGGGACCAGCACAAGCAGCTGACAACCCACGGGAGCGATGGGCTCAGGAACCTCAGAGTTCAATTCCTCTCCCCACCAGCATACATGCATGAACACCAGACACACTATCCACACACACACGTGATCCACCACAGCAGACACTACGCACACAGCACACACTCACATGCACATGTACACATCACATGCACACATATACACCACACAATGCAACCTGCCCCAATACATCCACATGCATGTGCACACATGTGATCTGCCACAGGAGACAGCACACACCCACACGTGCAGATGCACATGCGCACTGCATGCACACACACACATGATCCACCACAACCATACACAAAGCGCGTGCGCGCGCACACACACACACACACACACACATGTAGCTGCACATGGACACTCCACATGCACGCATATGCACACACAATCTGCCACAGCATACACCCACACATCACATGCACACACACACCAGATAGGTGATCTGCCACAGAAAATACTACACACACAGCACATACCCACACGCTTGTGCACATATATACACCACATGCACACATGTGATCCACCACAGCACATAAGCACACAACCCCAACATGTACAGATGCACATGCACACACATGCACAGACCATGCACACATGATCCACCACAGTAGACATTATACATACAGCACGTAACCACACACATGCAGATGCACACATACACACCACATGTACACATACCACACACATGATCCACTACAGCAGGCATACTGCACACACACGGCACATACCCACACCCATGTGCAATGCACACACACAGCACGTGCACATATGATCTGCAACAGCACACACTGCACATATACAGCACATACACACATACACGTGTGGACATGCACGTACCACATGCACACCCGCACGCCCTGCAGACCCTCCTCACCTGGGCAGGTGCTCTGAGCAAGCACTACCTGCTGACAGGCTTGGGACTCTGGCACCTGCAGCTCGTCCCGTTTTCTTCTTTCTTCGACCTGGAATGGCTGGAGACTTGGAAAGTCTTCCCAGGGAAGAAAATGGAGAAGCTAGTTTGTTTGTCCTGCAGCTGCAGCGCTACTGGGAGGCACCTTAACAGATGCCTGGCCAGGCCGAGGCAGCCCTGGGATTCCTCAGGTGTTTGTGGAGCGAATGAATTTTGTAGGCCGCTTGGGCTCTGAAGCCAGTGGAATCCACATGGGTCCCAGTTGTGCCCTGTCAACTTGACTGAATATGTGACTGCCAGGCCTGTGGTCATTTCCACTCCTGTGGGGGACTTCCAGAGGCCCCAGTGCCCCTCACAGCAGCCGCATACAGCAGCACAAAGCCTGCTGCCCTGGGGGGCCCTGTGTGCTTGCTACAGGCAAGGACGAGGAGCCACAGCTGATGGCTCTGCGCCACCTCTAGGTCCCAGAGGAGCAGGGCAAGGGTGTGGGGCTGCTGCTGGCACCCTACAAAGCTTTCTCCTGAAGGAGCAGACGCCTCAAAGCATTATAGCGGTTGAAAACTCCAGTTGTGGTAACATGGAGAGCCCAGGGAGGGCCAGGAAATGCTGTTGCTGAGCTGGGCTGTTGGCCAAGCCCTGCAGCTGTGCCTGTGTCCTCATACCTGCAGGATATGGTGGGAGGCCTGGATGGGGCGGTCAGCAGAGGGACCGTGCCCAGTGCTCCTTCTCACCTGATCTGTGGACACTATGTGACCTCACCTGTGGAGGCGCCACAGGGTAGTCAGCACAGACCAGGTGCTGCCAACAGCACAGGAGACTGCCGCCTGTCATGGTCCCAGGTGAGAAAGTGTAATCCCCACACGCAGAGGAGTGAAAACCCCACATCCTTTGTGTGACAAGTCGGGGAGAAGGCAAGCCCCATTCTACCAGAGTCTGCTGTGAGGGAAACTGGGGCCTCTGGAGGTCCCCCACAGTGAGCCTGCCCTGCCCCCCTGGGATCCACTCACCTGCGTAAGAGGCCTGGGCAGCACCCTTCTCCTGGGGGTCCTGCAGTTCCGGGACACGTGGCTCGTTTTCTTCCTGGGAGAGGTCCAGCTGGGCAGCTGGGACATCTGTTCACAAAAAAGAACACACAATCCTCAGTGAGCTGGAGGGATGCCTAACAGGAGATGGCAGTGACAACCATGGAAGGAAGGCGGGCACCGCGGGCTTGGGGCAGCTGTCAGGCCCTGAGGTTAGAGCCAAAAGTGAAGAGGCCACAGAGTTGGAATGACAGAGCTAAGCAGAGGTGGGAACAAGTGATATTTGATTTTGTACGGGAAGCAACTAGTCATCCTCAGTTACATGAACAGGGACAGGGGATGGTCCATCTGCTAAGTGTCCTCGGGGCCACTGTGTGCAAATGACTTCCCATCAAGGTTAGGGGTACACAGCAAGGTCAGACACAGGCACCTGGTCTCAGGATGGGGGGAGCCCTACCAGGCGGCAGTGAGACCCCGCAGTCCTCTCCGATGATGAACTCCCCGTAGAAGCCAGTCTGGGCGGGATCTAGAAGGGACCAGTCCTCCTCCGAGAAGCAGAAGATCATGTCTTTGAAAGGGGAAACCCGGTTCTGAAACCACACAACAGGGATACCTCAGTCTGTGAACAAGCTGGGGAAGGGACACTTGCCAACAGGGGGGAGCCAGCAGGGGCCGAGGGCAGAGGGCCGCACCTTAGCCTTCACCTGACACCCAGCTCGTTCTTGTCCCCTGTCCCACCTGCTTGTCCCTATCCAAACAGTGATGCCTTCCAGGTGGCCACACACGTGCAGAAATGTGCCCGCCAGTTCGATGTGGCCCCAAGAGGCAAAGGGGAGCACGCACCATGATGCCAGGCGCTAGGCCTGCCCGGACCATTGATTTCCAGGGTCTGTTGTGCCCATGTGCAATATGAGGTCTGTACGAGCCCCTCTGCATGGCAGCACTGGTGATCCCAGAGGATGTTATCAATAGATATTGATCACAGATACCAGTTAACAACTGAAGACGAGCTCTGTGCCCACCAGCAGAGTGCTGATTACCTCCAGAACCTCCTGCCCCGTGCCACCGCCCCCGCTGGAAGGGCCAGGGCTCCACACTGAGGAGGGAGCCCTCCGCAGGCCCCACGAAAGGCAGGCTGGGCCCCACGCACACGGTGTTGGAGGCTGGAATGCAGGCAGCTGCACAGCGGGGCCTAGGAACAGACGGGGCAGGGACTTCTCTTACACTTTGAGTCACGGACCATGGGGATGTGTCAAGTTTAATTTAAAAAATGATAGTATATCCATAAAATACCAGGAGACCATAAAAATAAAGATGTCCTTTATAGATCTTTGCCAGTTGAAACATGAAGCCAGGGCCTCAAACTTCCTATAATTAACAGATTGACAGTAACAATGTCATTGAGAAATTATTTACTTTGTAATGATCTGGAACATTGACTTGATAGAATATCTAGGAGAAGTGAAATGTGGAAGATAGAGACTGGTCAAGCTGACATTTCTGTTTGCACTTTCTAATCCCAGAAGAACAGAAACACACAGCACATCTCTACTAAGCATGTCACTGCATATGTGTGTCACCGTACATGTATGGTTGTGGAAACTGTGCAGCATTCTCTGGATATTGGTTTAATAAGGCATATATTTTCTGAAAAGTGACTCAATAACAAAGCATTTAAAACAAAGTTCCACCTTGGGTTATAAAACATAACTCATACAGCCAAACAGAAAGGAATTCAAAATAAAATTTGGAGGAAAGTGAAACCTGTGTCATATTGTATAACATATGTGTTTAAAGAATATCCTAAACACATGCCCTCACACCTGCCTAACTCCCTGGAAGGCTGCCAGTCACTCGTCTGAGTGTCCTGGGGTACGGGGACAGGAGTTGGGGGATAAGACTGGGAAAGGAGTTTTCACTGAATGCCCTCAGGTACCCTGGACTCTTCCTCCCCCACATACACACTTTTTAATTTTTCAAATAAAATCAAGAGATGAGAATTAACACGTATGAAAAGTGTGGAGCCTTCCGACTGTGTGATTTGCCACGTTAACACTTTGCCCAATTGTCACATTTCTCCCTCACGTGTATGGTGGGTGGGCATGCATCCTTATCATCAGACCGCTGGGGAGTGGCAGACACCATGATTTGTCACTCCAACAGTTGTCCATGTGAATCTTCTAAGAAGAAAGCTTTTCTCCCACATCAGCATAACTTCCTACAGCACCATGGTTCTCACCCAAGGAGAACTGATTTGGCACCCAGAGGACATGTTGCATTGCCTGGAGACAGCCGTTTGTCACCACTGGGGGTGGGTGCTAGGCCATCCAGGCTAGAGGTCAGGGATGCTGCTCAATACCCCACAGTGCCCAGGGCAGTCTCATGGGACAAAGAACTATCCAGTCAAAATGTCACCAGCCACAGTCTAGGCTGCTTTACAACACCCAAAAAAACAGACCATCGGCTCAGTAATATCCTTTAGGGTCTTGAACTACGAAATAGTATTACTTTTTCAAGGAAAAAAATTATGAGCAGTTCCACAGGTGACTGTGACATGAAGTTGATTGGGAATTGCTAGATGAAAGCTTTCTAATGGGCCTCAGAAATCTTGCTGAATATACATTGTCTTTAAATGTCAATCATCATATTTACAAAAGAAATTCAATACCTTATGTTTACATGACAACAGTCATATGCTGGTAGACTCATTTTGTTTTGTTTGGCCCACACCCATCTGATTAGAAAAGATGAGATTAAGTGTAAGCTCCTCTTGGGTCCTTGGAGATGTAGGAAAACAGGCCTGGGGAAATGCACACTTCTGGACAATCTTAGGAGAATGTAACAGGATCATACCCTGTGACCCAGTAATGCCACTTCCAGGGCACTTCCCTAAGGAAGCTGTCAGCGGTACATGCAGGAGTGTGTAAAGGAATATAAGGCACACTGGTCAGTTGGTCAGTAGAACCCCGTGTGAGTTTCTTTTCATCCTGACACTGTTCTCTAGTGTCTGAAGACTTACCCTGTGTATGGATCATTTGTTTTATTAAAAACTGAAACAAAATATGCTGTACCCACTCTAAGACATAAAAACTGTTACCAGGGTAGTGTTTGCCCAGGGTTTTCTGTGCAAAGGCACAGAGGGTGGGTCACAGGTTTGGAACGTGGTCTCCTTCAGGTCCAGTCCCACTTCTGGTCCTTCCCCCAGGAAGTCTGCAGGCTGGGTCACGCTCAGTGCAGGCCCTTTAACTCCAAGGACATCTGAATGTGGCTTTGACTCTCATCTCAGCACTGTTTTATGTTTCCAACGGCTGGAACAGCCTCACAACCTCACCCACACGAGCAGATGTAGGTCTGGTTTGCCCACTTCAGTAAAGTGTTTCGGTTTTCCCAGCACAAATGCTCCTTGACCTGGACGGTGCTGCACTGTGACGAACCCACTGGAAGTTGAAAATATCCTAGGTCGAAAGGGTATTTGATACCAGCTGCAGGGGATCAGGGCACGGCCTGGGATCCTAGCAGACCAGAGCTGTGCTGCCCTGCCCTGCCCTGCCAGCCCAGCAGCGGGGTGGTCCCCTGCACGTGGCTGGCCTGGAAGGACCCAAATTCAAAACTCGAAGTCCGGTTTCTATGGAATGCCTATCACTTTCCTACTGTCCTCAGGTGGAAAATCTTGTCAGCTGAACCACTGCAAGTTAGGGCCATCACCACTTCACTGTCGCAAGCTGCCCCAACTGTGTCCCCGACATACACAACAGGAGCACTGGGTAGATGTAGAAGCAGAGCTACTGAGCCCCTGGGGACACATGCTCTCAGATGACGGGGGCACATCCTCACCATAGAGCATACAAACGCTGCCCCACCGCAGCTCAAGCCCGACCTACACTGCCCCGCACAGTGGCCAACACCAGGTTCAGTCAGCAGCCTGTGGGTCCGGCCCCCGGGAGAGTGGCAGTCACTGCCTTGGATTCTCTGCCATCAGGGTTTCTTCTTCTTGATTTTCTTTGCCTATTTTTCTATTTTCTAATGGGTTGCTTTTCCTATTTTTCAATCAACTTGTTTTAAAATTATAGATATACCTACTTCATTGTTTTAAAAGAAAGGACAACATTATTTCAATTTTAAAATTAAAAAGACTCTAAATATGTTACAATCACTTTACGGTGGCATGAATCACCAGTAATATCAATGGTATGGGACAAACTGCAAGAAAATGTTTAACAAATTAGTACGGTTATAATTTTGATAAAAGAGCTTCAAAATCAGAAATGTGGTTTTGGGACAAAAATACATTGACACAGAAGAGAAGAAAAAGTCCAGAAACCAACATAAAAATCTAATCTATAAGAAAAAAACAACCCTAATCAATGGAGAAAGGGGAAGATAATTTTTATCCAATGTATCTGATGTAGTTGGCTGACTAGAAATAAAACTAGATTCTGATCCTTGATCATAACATAAAAATAAAAATATTAACGTACCAAAAGGAAAAAAAAAACGGCTTTCAGAGACTAAAAATAAACACATGATATGAAGAATAATGGGCAGAGATTCACATAAAAATTATAAATACCTCCAATAATGAAACAACATGAATGAAGTTAAAAGACCAATGACAAACTGGGAACAAATGTACACCATTATGAGCAGCAAAGAGGATTTAAAATATACAGAGCCTTTATAACACAACTGGAAGAGCCTACCTGCCATCTCAATTAAAAAAAAAAAAAGAACCAAAAAAGTAAACATTTTAATTAAAACATATGAAAAACTGCATATTCACTAGTACATTAAAATACTATTATCAATTATTGTTTTGAAGACTCAAAAAGAAAGGTGATGAAATTCAACAATGATCATCTTGTCATCACACGTAAAAATGTGTTAGAAACATTTTAAATACCTTGGCCTAGAAGCCAAAATTCCCACAAACCAATCAAAAAATCCTCTGGAATCTTCAGAAAAGCTACCATACTAATAAGTAAAATTAATGAGGTTGCTGGATAGAAGGTCAGTGTGCCAAAGTCAACTGTATTTCTGTAAAAAAACAACAATTTGAAGATGAAATACATGTATATATGTGACCACTTACAATAGTGTCAAAAACCATGGGATTCTTAATGAAAATGTTTACAAAATATGTGCCCCGCCAGAACACTAAAGAACCAACAAAATGAAGGATTTAATATGTTAAGATGTCAATTCACCCCACACTGCTCTGTTGATTCAGTGCAATCCCATACAAAAACTCCAGGAAGATTCTAAAATCATATGGACATCCAAAACACTCAGAGGCAGTGAAAAGTATTTTGAGAACTGAAAGACTCAAACCACCCAGCTACAAACCTTAGTCACAGCGGTACTGGCACAAAGGGTCAAAACACAGCTCAATCGCAGTTGAGCCCAGATGCTCAGACCTGTGTGGACAACTGATTTTTGACAAGGGTGGAATTCAAAGGGAAAAGGAAAATCTTTTCTGTGAACCTGGAAAAACCCTACACCTCATACTAATATAGGGAGGAGGCAAGAGAACTAAGTATTAAAGCAAGCTACATTCAGAGACTGCTCCATGCTGACCAGCCTTACAGCTAAG